TAGATCTAGGCTCTGTGTTTAGACAGATGAAAAATGGAAAATTTTCCTGAAAGACAATCTTTTTTGTTTGTTTTGAATTTTATCCTGTCCCCTCCCAAACAGAACAGAGATATTTCTCAGTCCCTGCATTTATACTGAGCATACATGAGGATCAAGAGGGCACACTCTAGCTGCATGGCATTGGCACATTTTGGAGGTACGGACGTGCTCCAAGCCTGGAACATTGGTGCCTGCATCAGGGATTGAGGATGAAGGGGGTTGTGAAGATTACAGCAAGAGCTTTCTCTAATAGGGTAAAGGTTTTTTTGGTTCATCTTTCTGTTCACTAAAGGAAAAAGACTTTTAACTGTGCAGTACAACGGTGTTACTAAGCAATTCTGGTTGGAATCCAGAATTAGAACATAGTTTAATGGTGAAGTAATAGTCTATTGAAGAGAAACCATAAAAACGTGGGCCCTTACCACCCCCATGAAAGAAAGGAGTCAATTACTTTGACTTCTTTTATTCTAAAATTTCAAATATTTTATTGAAATTTAAAAAAATGAAGCAAAACCAAACCCTGAAAATCCATCCCCTTAAACACATCTGAATTTTGGTGAAGTGTTTGGAAACGACTTCTGCTCATTTCTCCCATAGCTTGATTTTTTCATGTAGCTGATGTTTAATTAGGAATACACAGTTATTTGACAGTTATAAACTTGTGGCATTCACAGGCTTGTTTACGTAATGGACTCCACTTGCATTTGCTGTGATATACTTCCAAATATTTTTTTTTAGGACCAAACTCAACATTCACTTAAATGAGCACAGACCTGTTGAAGGAGTTGTAAGTGCCATTGTTCTTACCAGCAATTAGTTTGAACTTACAGCTGAAAAGTCACTGAAAAATCTTTGGGATCACAAGCTTTACTTAAAGGTTACGAATGGAGCAAATCCTAGTTGGACATCTTCCTTTGACCTGCTCTAATCCTGCCCTCTTGCTAAATGATCTCTGCAATGGAAGCAGAGCTGCTCTTAAGTAATAATTCTAGGTAAGTGCTGTGCTTCAACCTGCTTATCGGGATGTTATTATAGAGATAATTTAATATAATTTTCATAGATTACTACAGAACAAAGAAGCAGCAGTGGCTTAAAATTAGCCAGTTCTCAGCAAACTCTTGATGGCAGTGGAAATGCCGAATGCTATTTCCTTGAAGACCAACCTAAGAATTCAGAGAAATAAAATCCCTGGCCCTGTGAAAAGGTTTTCTTTTTTCCTCTTTAGATGGAAATGGGAGCGGCTGAAAGGCCAGAGATGTGGACACCTGCTGCAGCATCAGAAGAAATCAACCTGCCTGGGGTATCCACAGGTAAGACTCCACATGTAACATCGGGGTAGCTTTCTTGTTCCCTGCTCCTAAATCTCAAAATTACTTTGTTCCTCTGGTAAAACAGCAGTGTGGGCTGGAGGAGGCTGGCTGCTTGCTGCCAGCCTGGGCTGCAGGCTCGTGATGGTTGCAAGGCTGCTGGGTAAACGTGTTTGATGGATTTTTGTAGCCTGGAGTCTAATTTGAGGGCAGGAAAAACAGAGCAATGAGAGTAACAGGACTCGTATTTGGTGGATGTGTTCTGAGGCTGGAAAAAAAGAGACAAGGATAGACCTGTGAACAGGATCAGGTTAGTACCGCAAGTCATACCTGGGAGGGTGATGCAATTCTGCTGGAAATCTCGGCCTGCTGTCGCTAGCGGGGCCATCGATTTCAGCCGCAACGGGGCTGTGCTGTCCCCGGGATCCTGGGATCTCTATTCTAAACTAGTCTTCATTTTTGTTAACCAATTCTTAACATACTCATAACAATGCTGCCGTTAAAAGTTATCAGTGATTTAATTCTTGGTTGAACTCCTAACTTAGTCCAGCAAAGTTCTCTGTAAATGGACTGCCAAGTCCTATAAAGCAAAGCAAAATAAGCTTTAGGCTGAACATTAGTCTAGACACAGTGAGTTACCATATAAAGGCATAGTTTTTAAATGTAACAATCTCTTCCACTTGATTCATATTTCAGCAGTGTCACACCGTAGACTCAACATACAGAAATTTGAATTGACAGCTATATACAAAACTATGATACAAAGTTATTACAAAACTGAATTGAGAAATAAAAGCTCTGAATTTTTAAAACACAATACTGCACATTCCCAGTTTTCAAGCAACAACAACATGAAACTACCCGTTCTGTGGCTGGAACATAACACTTCAGAGCAACTTAGCATGATTTTTAAACCCAGAGATTTACTAAAGTACAAGCTGAAAATGCAGCTAATAGAGCCCCCTGGAAAACCTCTTTCTGCTGCTTTAAAAACAGGAACTTGGGCGCTGACTCTCCCTCATCTGTACGTGAGGCTCCTGCAAAACTACAGACACGCTTACACTTAATTACACATAGCATAGGTGGGAGTCAGACACTGTTTATATGGCTGTATGTTTAATAAAATACTTCTACTTTATTTCCAAGAGGGATCTCCTTTGCTTTAAACGATTGAGAGGGAAAATACATTTGTCTAAGCTGTGTCTTGGATCTGCTTCAACATAAATTGATGGTGAGTGGTGAGGGAACACCTTCCACCTGCAGCAGTGCAACAAGTGCTTGATTCGTATCCTGAATTTAGCGGAGACACTGCTGTTTTTAAAATTCCTCAGAGGACTAAGCGCTGTGGTGCTTCCTTGGGCCACGCTCAGCTCTCGTTTCGAGAGGAGCCTGCCCTAAGAAGAGGCTGAAAGACGTGGCTCCAAGAAGGGCTCATTCAGGGTCTGACGCTTGCAACCCTCCGCACGCAGAGTCCCCGCGTCTCGATGGGTGCCGAGAGCTCACGTAAGGCCCGGGCTGAAGGTGCTCAGGTCTCCAGGAGGTTCTTTGGGCTGCCAGGAAGGGATTAAAAGCGGGCGCGCGGGGAAGCTTTGCATCCAGCTGCAGCAGAGGCGGCCGCGGGTGACGCGTGGGTACCGCAGAGCGTCGCTTCCGCGGGACCGGCAGAGCTGGGGCTGTTAGCGTCTCTCCGGGGCTCCGTTACTTCTTCTGCCGCGCCGTGACACCTGCAGGAGGAGGAGGAACTGCAGAGTAGTCACTGCTGCAAAAACGAAGCTTTTGCGGTTTCACTTGTGTCTAATAGCCAGGGTGCTACTACGGAAACCAGCATCAGATAAAGGAAAAACTGGTAGATCTAAATTTGTATTTACTTAACAAAAACCTCCCATACATTTACAGTACTGGTTCTAATGCTCAAGAGTTGAGACAACGTTGCTTTGACACTAGGCACTAGTCAAATCCAATAACATGAAGCTTTTGTTTTCTGAGCAGAATGTTGCAATGTGCTCCTACATTTTAAGTTACTAAATTCACTAAATTTATGGGCTGATTCTGATGCTTCTGAAAGATGAGCTAGCATTTTTTTGCCAGTGGTTTAGGCTGAGATCAGCCCTCCTCCTGCACCCCTGTGTGGCCTCCCAGTTGCCCAGAGGTGTTTTGGGGGGGAGTGAGGGCTGTATACTATCATTTTTAAGGTGCTGTCCCTGTAATAACTGAAGAAAATACCATTTCTAATGACAGACATAAAGGCAAAGGCCATACAGGAAGACAAGCATTAGCCTGATTACATTCCCATGGTCTATTAGGACACTGGACACTGAGCCTGCAGAAGGGGGAGATGAAACATCTGGTTCTCTAGAATTAAATTAAAACAACAACAACAAAAAGATTCTTAAACTCTGCTGTCTCTTTGCAGATGGAGACTGATCCTTTCTCTATTTTTTTTTTTTTGTAATGTGTATGTGCACATGGTATAAAGGTGGGAGGAGAAAAAGGGGACCTGCAGATTTGACGGGTCCCTGTCCTGTTGGTGCGGGGCTCTCGCAGGCACTGCTGGCAGCAAGTGGCTGCAGTGTCGCTTCTCAAGGATGCACTTCTGCCTTCCTGCCTCGGGCTACCCAGCCTCTTCGTCAAGGTACCAGTTTTCAACATATCCCTCTCTGTTGCTTTCCTATGTTTTTGAAGTGAAGTGCAACACCCCACCACAGAGCGGACTTTCCATTCCCAGAAATCAGGCTGCAAGTCAGGACAAAATTATCCTCCAGCCTCCCAAGAGAGGGGATGGAGGCAGGGGGCCTTGCTTGGCACTTGTGCTCAGGCATGGGGGATGCTGAGGAGGAAACACGTTCTGTTTACAAAATGAGATCGCGAGAGATTTGGCATCATTGATTCATTTCCTAAGAGACGCACATCTGAATGGAAAGGGCAACAAGTAACTATGCAATCTGTAACTATGCAATTTCAGTACAGTGGACATTTTATTTTTGTTTCTTGCTTTTCTTTCCACTTCCTGTAAGGCACTTTCAGAAAAGTCTTGTGGACAGAACTCCCAAAGTTTTCTTGTGATAAGTCACTGTCTGTTCCTAATCCCAACATTGGTGAGGAATGCAGTACCACATGTCCTTATTTGAAACTGAGTTTACATGTTCTGTCTGTCTGTCTTTCCTTCCCTAAACAAAACGATCTCCTTCCCCTCCACCCCTGAAAGCTGTATGAATGCACATGGTTTATTTGCTTCAGCTAATTACTTTGGTGTGTCAGATAGGGATTCTGATACAGGATTTGGCTTTGAGCTGGAGCTGGTAACTTCCTCCAAACTTTTTTTTTCTCTTCTCTACACCCACTGTTTTATTCCGTATATCAAATACACATACTTGTATATCAAATACCCGTATATATTATTCCGTATATCAAATTATTCCGTATATCAAATACACATACTTAAACTATAGAGAGTTTAAGTTTGAGTATTTAAAGTCTAGGTGCTGTAGAAACTAGCTGCTCTGAAAGCAAACCAAATATTCTTTGCAAGAGGTGTGTACTGAAATTGCATTTTTACAGTTTTTGAGAAAATAACTGAATCAAAGCAAAGACTTTGTTTATCACACGAAGCTGGATTCATTTGGTTAGAATGACTCATAATAATCTGCAGGGAAAGGCAGGTTGGCTGCTGCTGACACAGAAGACAGACGTGTGGGATATGACCCTGCGTCGTGGGGAGAGCAGCACTGACTCCACTCAACGCAAGATCAACCCCCTGGAGAGTAAGAATCAGAGTAACAAATTTGCTTTGAATGTATTTGTGATTAGACACAAAGACAAAAAGCTTAGCTGATGTGCCAAGTAATGATTAAGTTTGTAAATTCTCAATGCTATGGTTAGTTTACAAAAAATGCCTTTGCAATGTTACATACCTCAGTGTACCACACAACCTTTTTTTGTTTTATTATCTCCAGTATCAGTGTCAACCTCTGCTTTTAAATGAAAGAAAAACACTAAATTTATATGATCATGGCAAAGCAAATGTAACAACTCGGAACTTCTTAAGATAAGCCCATCACTTAAGCAGCATAAAAGTTCTTTAATGCAATCCCTGGGTGCCTAGGGAGCCGTGTGACTTTTGTGGGGAGTTTTTTCCTTAAGATAGAAATGCTCATTACAGGAAAGCACCGTGAGGGCTGGGAGTGCGGGGTTTCCCTTTGCCGCAGTTGATTCTACCTCCTGGGAAGGCCAGGGCAAGGAATTCCCTCCATCCGCAGCCTCTGCACTTCTGCTGTTCCTGGAACGGAGAAGCTACGGAGCAGGGAGAGCACCTGACGCTGTCAGGGAAGGGGGAATGGAGGCAGGTGGGAAATAAGAGATCTAGGAGAAATTTATCCCCATTTCCGAAAAAGCCTCAGAAGAAGGAAAGTTCGGGAACCACATCTGGGAAAGCGCTTCTGTTCTGTAGCTTGTTTTAACCAGGGGAAACCGGCCTGCTTAGAAACAGAAATTATTATGGCCCTGAGGGCTACCAGCACCATAAGCGTAAGCTCCTGTGTGGTGGATGCTCAGATGATGATGTATCTGTCAAAACGCTGACAGACCCAAGTGTCTCCCCTATGAGTTAGTCCTCTATTTACTGCAGGCAAAAAGCACTTGGAATAAGACTTATGAAAGGGGGTGAAAATTCACAGCAGTGCTGATGTTTCTGGCTTTATCTGTTTATAAATAGTAGAGAGGGGGTGATTGCTGATTAAGCACCCAGTATTAACTGCTCTTAATCACTGCTCTGGAGTCTAATGGAGCTCTTGTTTGCACATAACCATGGCTTGTGGCTGTCGTTAGTGCTTATGACAGATGTGCTTATTGCCATCTTTATTGCATATGTGTAATGGGCTTTTTAATTATTGATTCATCATTACCCTTTTATAAACAACTTGTAAATGTCAAGAGAATGCGCAATGTTTGTGTTTTCTTTTTAAACCATTTTCAGATTTAAAAAAAAAAAAGAAAAAGTAACAACTCCATTAAACAGAGTTGCTTGAGGGGAGGGAAGGGGACCTCCCATGGACAGCACTGGACCTCTGAGTGGGGAGGGACAGATATAGAAAAACGTACTCGAAAGTCTCCCTGATTTAACTCAGTCCCAGAGTAATAAAACGATATATATATAAAACAGGCTACCTGTGTAGCTTTTGCTGTGCCTCTTCTTCTTTTTCCGTTTCCCAGATGTTCTTTGCTTTTCCCTGTCACTGTAAGTTTGTCCAGGGGGGAGTGTTGCTGAACAGGAAGAATCGGTGGCGGGCTCCTCTGAAAAGGACTTCTCTTGGGAAGTGTCCAACACTGAGTCAGTACCAGGGTCTTCATTTTCCTTTGCTGTCTCTTTTGATTCTACCTGATAAGCCTCATCAAAGGGAGTGGACTGAGCACTGCGAGGATCTTCTCCACTCGCACTTAGCTGGAGGTTGCTTGGCTGGATCATCTGCTCACTAGCTGGACTAATGCTCTCTGTGCCATCAGCATGGGATTCCTTGTCCTGCTGTTCTGAGATGGACCCATTGAGTTGGTCTCTCAAAGCAGTGCTCAAACCGCTGCTCCCAAACTTTATCCCAGTGCCCATACTGGTGGGAGAGAAGGTGAAGGTGCCGCTCTTGGTGCTCTCCTGGAGGCCGTTTGCCTGCTGCTTGCCAGCTCCCTGCTCTGCCTGACCAGCCCCATCAGCTTCCATCAAGCTTGCAGACAAGCCTTCAGCTTGGCACTCTGGCGGCAATTTTCCTTCAGCATTTTCTTTAGGCAACACCTGGTTAGAAGCTGAGGTATCTATAGCATCTTTACCCGTCTCCGTTAGGGTAGTGGCTGGAGTGGGGGTGTTTTCTGAGGGATGACCATTGCTGCTTGGCTTTTTCTTATCATTGATTTGTTTTCCTGTAGCTTGTGGATCCTTAATGCTCTTTCCTTTAAACAAAAAAGCAAAAACACATAATTAAGTACAACTGCAGAATTATGCTCAAAGTCAGTCTGAAAAGGTCCCTGTCCTCAAAGGGGTTCCTGTCACTGGGGCCCAAGCTTGCAGCTGCCTGCACAGGGTGCCACCAGCAGGGTACCCCCTCTCAGAGGGGTCATCAGGGTGGGCACAAGGCCATGCCACAATAAATGTATTGCTGTTAATTGTGGAATCTCTGCTCCGCTTCTTCACTGCACTGATTGTAAAGCCTCCTTAAATAAAATACCCCAAATACAAATACTGGAAACTTCTTCCATGTGTGTTTGGCTCATGCTCAGAGGCAGACGGGAATGAGTAGCTGCAGGTAATAAAGTCAGGTCTGTGTCCTTACCAGACTGGCTCTCCTCTGGGCTCTCTGCTGGCAAGGTTTTAGGAAGCGCATCCACCTCATTTCTGTTCTTTGTCTTCCTCAGCGTGAAGCCTTTCCTTATGTCGGCCAGCAGTGCATCGATGACACACACGTCCTCCTGCTTCACTGCTCCCTTCTTAACTTGGAGAGAGAGAGAGATGAGCATCAACAACATGCCCAGGAGCTGGAGCAGAAGGCCTCTGGCTCTGCCCAGGCAATGATGCCACCCTGCCTGCTACCTGCTGGCCTAGGCTAAAGCTCTGAGATGAAGCCTGACTGTGAAACCAGCCCCTGGGACAGGGCAGTAGGTCCTGCAGGACCACAGTCAAGCTCCAGGATTCAGCAGACCTAGAGTGCACCTTGGTTTTGTCCAAAATTGAGCGCCTTGGGCTGTCGCTCAGGGCATGTCATATGTCCTGTTTGCTGTTCATGTAGGTGGGGCTATTATTTTATTTTTTGATAGGGTCAAAATGATCTTGATTTTTCTTTTTAACTTCTTCCAGTTTTACTTTTCAGATGTGCCTTTCATTTTCAACCACAGAAAGGCAGATTTAAGTTATCTGCAATGTTTCTGAAACTTGTGCAAACTCTGCTAAACTGGGGTGAGACTACTGGGGATTTCAGGGAAAAAAGTCAAATGTCTCTTGTTAGATTTGGAATCTAGCTTGGAAAAAGCTTTGTTAGAAAATAAAAATGTTGAAATAACTGAAAGTTTAAATCTGAGATTTTTCCTCCTCTGTTCAATCAGAAAAATTAAGTTCTTGACCCAGCTGTGTAACTGTAGAAGGCCAATATTTAGCTATGGCTGTAAAACACCTAAAAGCCTTCAGTGAGCCAGCACCTAGAAACCCACAGAATAAATTAGCATTCCTAGTCCATTAAAACAAGAACAGAAAATTCTCCTGTTGGCTCTTGTAGACAGTTTTGGATGACATGTCCATCTCTCTTTAATGAAACCATTTCTGATACTTACTGACTTTTCCATTTTCCCCTTTCTGTCTCTTAGCCTCTTCTTCTTCCAGTTGTTTTTTCCTCTTCTCTGCTTTCGCAGCTTGCTCCTTTCTGTCCTTGTTTTCCTGCAGTGAGGTAACAGGAGGCATGAGAAGATTGGCTAAACATCTGGTAGAAAAGCTGATGAAAAGAAGGATGATCTCTTCAGTACATAAAAATTTTTGTACTATCTTTCCAAGGGGGTGAGAGGGAGACTGTTGGCTTGTCTGGGGCTCTATGCTCATTCCTAATAGCAGGTGGCAGCAGTGATCTGCCTAACACAACCACTACAGTGCAGATCCTCTGATTAGCTGAGGAAAATGTGAAAGCCACTGAAGCCATGATTTGCTCCACACTTGTGGCCTTTTAACCACATCCCCTTTTTGCATACCCTTTCTAAAGGCTTTTTGCTCAAGTTGGAAATAAGTATTGTTTTAAAATCCTGATGCTCTAAAACTTATGCATTTGACTCCAGAAGGCCCTCTGTGAATCTGAAGCCAAAGTAGCATGAAAATCAGAAACTCCAGAATCTGTCTCAGAAACGCTGTTGTGAAGTTGGACTTTCCTAACAAAGCCAGTAGAGCTGGTCCTGGCTCCTTTCAAGCCCTGGCACCACTTTGAGATGGTAAGGACAGGTCGTGGGGTTAATATGAGGCAGAGAGAAGCTCCAGCAGGAAGCAATCAATAGGGAATATTCTGCTGGGGTCCAGCCACCTCCTGAAAGGCTACTTCCCCTGCAGGGTTGAGGTGTCCATCCCACCCTCATCTATTTGAGCAGAGGTAGGCTCCAGTCCTGGGGTTGTGCAGCACTGTGTGTGCAAAAGCCTACCTTCATGGCTCGGATGAAGAGATCTCTGAAGGTTTTCATGGTGCTAAACATGTCCTCTAAGGACAACTTGCTGGGGTCTTCACAGAGATAATTTGCAAGTTCTTCTCTCTTCCTTTCAATGGTTTCAAATTTCTCTTCCAGCTTTCTGGAAGCATCAATGCTATCCTGAAATGCATTTAGTATAAACAGTAAAACGCCATTCAGAGGATAATGAGTGAAGGGCAATTAAAGAAGAAAAGATGACAATGTAAGATGTTGGAGCAGGGCTCTGCGGCCTTGCTTTTCAACAGCAGCAGAGCTTATGCAGGGCAAATAGCTGAGATGGCCTTTGCTGCTAGTGATTGAGTTGTACCAGTTTACATGGAGCACTAGAAGGATGTGGAAAGCTTAATACCAAACCTAATCCCAAGACAGGATTTTTTTTGAAGACCCACACTGAGAATGAATAGATTGGCTTGAACAGAGTAAGGAGGTCTTAAGAAATAGCCTTATCAAAAGATATCTAGGGCCTGTTAAGAAGTGGAAAATTAATACAAATGGGTTGTGTGCATCACAGGCTACTTCAAAATCTGGAAACCCCTCAAGAACCTCCTCTGTTACATATTATGTACAGAGCTGTGTGTTTGTGTGTGGGTATTCAAGGTGAAAGATATAAAGGAACTCCATTCACTGACCTGGATAGGTTTCTCATACTGTTGTTTCACATCTTCATTTGATGATGAGATCTTTCGCTGTAGCTCCAGCAACTTCTTTAAATTGGCACTGGACTCTGAGCGTATGATATCAATATTAATTCTGAAAAAAAATAGAAGTCCCTCATTAGTTCACTTCATAATATCTTCAGAAGACTGAAGAGAGAATTCAGCAGAGCTGGTGGCTTGGTTTTTCCTTTCTTTTCCACCACTTCACTGACTAACTGTAGAACTGCCTGAATCTTGAGCTCTGAACTCTTTATGCAACCAAAACTCATGAAAATTTTACTTCTGCCATGGTACTCATGAAAACAGGGCCAGGTCTACCTACAACTTCATGTATTGAGTAGACAGATGCCAAAAAGAGTCCACTCATTGAAAGGGTTATTCTCCATCTTCATGCTCTCCTCAGTGAGTGGCATTAGCTTAGTTTCTCAGAACATGCTGGTTGAAGACACTTCAGAACTGCTTCTGGGTAGCTGGACTTTAGAAGATCCTGCTAACACAAAAGCAGTGCAGTATTTGGAAAGGCCTGTGAGGCAGTATTAACTGAAGGCACTGCAAATTTCATTCTTAAGTGTTGTCAGCTGTAGTACAACTATTGTATATTAGAGTGGCTTCAGTATTCACCAGCCAAATCTTTTGGTCAAAACTAAATAAGATGCTATTTCATTAATGTGCTATACCAGCTGTGTGTTCTATTTTCTGATACCTTATTAATGTGCATGGGATTTTGTTTGTTTGATTTTTAATTTGAAGGAAATGAAACTGCTTACCCTGCTGCTTTTGAAACATTTTCAAGGTCCTTTGGCAGTTCCAGTAGGTCTGTGTGGCTGTTTTCTACTTCCTGAAGGAGGAGAAAGAAATGTTGCTTATTGAATGCCATAAGCTGAGAGAGGAAGACAGGTGGGAAGAGAAATGGGCAGAAGTGCAGAGGAAGGCCTACATCCCACTACTGCCCCCCATCTCTAGTCTGATTTGCCTCACAGAGCAAAACAGCACTGCAGGTCCTGCAGAGAGGCAAGGCACTATAAAAACACGAGTGCTGAAAGATTAGAAATACTCATTGTTAAAAGAAAGCTGACTTGCCACTGTCCTCTGTTCTATCTTACCGGGGATTTCTCTTGCTTTCTTCTGTTGGACTACAGTTGGCCATGGCAGGAGGCAGGGCTCTGGTTTGATGCAGTTCAGTTTCTACAGTCCCAGCAAGGCATTGGAAGGGCTTGATTCTTATTTGCCTAACTTAATTCCATGCTATGCTTGCTGAAGTTACCAATTAGCTAAAATGGGAGCTTGACCATACATGACTGGATTTGAGAGACCTTGATGAATGAGATTGTCAGACCAGAACATGGAGAAAAAGGGGGGAAAAAACAGCAATGCAGAGAATAAGAAAGACATAGGGGCCTAGAAGGATCATGAAAATCTTGAGTATAGTCTGGTAGAGAAGGGAGAGGCAATGAAAAGGCAGAGGAGTTGAAGCAACGCAGATCAGCCAAGATGGTTTAGGTAGCCACATGTTCTGTGGTTTGCAGCTGGTGATGTGCACAGATTGTAGAAATATGAAAAGAGGAAGTTCTAGCAATTATCATGAAAGATGCTAAAGGGAAGCAGGACAAAAGTGTCCGCACAACGAGTTCCCTTTAAGCTGAATAATGCCCACAAATAGAGACTGTTAGCCCAAGTTAACGGAGTGACCTCAGCTTGCAAAGCTGCAGTTTGTCAGGGAGGATATGAATACCAGTGTGTGGCAACAAACGAAAGTAGAGTAGAAAGAATGGTTCTTTTGTGCTAAAATCCTCCCCTTTCCCTATTGCCCAGGACTTGGCAGTGGTACCTCCAGAATATGGTGGAGCAGAGTCACGCGGGTTTGGTTTGCTTTGGTCTCGGTTAGCTTGAGTAAAGTGCTGATCTTAAACCCATCAGCATCCCCTGTGTGACTTCCCTGCAAGACAGAAGAAAGCAAACATAATTCCCAGGTCCAGCCAAATTACAATGCTAAGAAAGAAGAATAATCCACATATCATAATGACTTGGGGGAGAGCAAGACAAAAGAAATCCTTACATAGTTCAGAAAGTTTCCAACTTTGAGAATCAGTTGACAGAAGAGCGGCAGACGATGACTGTTCAGAAGATCTGAAAAACAAAACAGGTCTTTAATTAAAGCCTTGGTCAAACAAGACTGTTCCCTAAACTGGATTAAAATTGGAGTTCTGATTTCCACCAAATGAAAATTGGATTTTTCAGGTTTGCAACCCAAAGGCCCAGCTGGAACTCACTCTAAATAAATTCAATTTAATTAGCTGGGCCTCACACACGTTTTGATGACCTTTGCTTGTTTCTTCTTTTATATTTAGTATCTCATTTCTAATGGAAACTAACGTGGAGTTGGAATCTTTTTACTAACAGTCACTAACTTGCTGCCTTCTGTGGAAGTATTTTAGATTTCTATTGGTATGGATGAGGATAACTGAGCTAAAACTTGAATCCTAGAAGGCTCTGAGAGCCTATTCAGCTGTGCAGTGAAGCCAGGTCTGACAGACCTGTGAGCAGCTGCCAGCTGATAACACCAGACACGCTCTCCCTGTTCTTGTTCTTGCATGGCTGAGGTGCTTATCAGTGCATGAAGGATACCACCCCTATCCTTGTTTTGAAGACAGGGTGCAGCAGTGGCGTTGTTTCTCACACATTTAGCTTTGAGAAAGGAACATCTCCAAGAGGACAAGTGGACTGCTTGGAAGAAAATTTGGAGGAAGTTTCAATTAATCCCAGCAGGAAGTTGTCCCTCCAGCTGGAGAAACCCATCACAGGACTTAGTGGAACTGGCTCTTCAGGATGGGTTCTTCTTTCTCAGCTCTTGACAAAGCCGAGAAAGAGGTAGGAGGCTCCCTTTGGTGCTGTTGAAGGTCTGGAATCAGTTCTCAGGCAGGCATCTCTGTGCATGCTGCCCCCAGGATAAGCCGAAGGAGACTTCTGGATGAACAGATCTGAAATCTAGAAATCACTGTAAACTACATTTGCTTTCACTTGGTGGATGACCTTGGGAATAAAACTGTCCAGAAGGATTTTATACCTCTTCCCCCTGCCAGCTATATTTTCCATTCTGCTCTTGACTAGAAGCTCTGATCACAGCAAGCGGAAATCTATTGTCCAATTGCAGAGACATATTGTGTAATTGCTCCATGTATTCAGATGCTTCCATCTCAGCATTAAGCATTTACAGCCCAAAATATCAACCTTTTTCTCTTCTGGTTCCATTTGTAGCCAGGGAAAACTGAAGTGTTGCTGCTTTCTGTGGAAGTTGAGGGTATGCTTTTGTGGCAGCAGAGGAAATTGCTGCAGGAAGATTTCCATGTGGCCATCCAAATAATACTGGATGAATTAGTTGTAACAGAGCCAGTCCTGTTGTCCTGAATTCAGCTCCTTTGAAAGGGCTGGTGAGCTTCCCATGCTTCACTGTTGGAAGTGATTCAGAGAAATACAGCTGCTGCAAAAAAAGCAGGACAGAGGGCGAAGGAAAGTGATCTTCAGTCCCAAAAGAGGCTTTGACCATCAGTGGGAGTACCTAGAGCTGCATCCCTTGTTCTGAAGCAAACTAGTGACTAGCTGCAGCAGGAGGGTAGCTGTGGTGCTGGGTAGCCCCATTGCAAAGCTCTGTATGTAGATGTTTTCTAGCACATTGCGGTTTATTGCTGTAAATAAGACAAAGAAATAAGGTCACATCATTTACCTTCACAAGCTCTCTGGATGACTCCAGCTTTTGGATGAATCATGTCCAGCACAACGTTGGTCTCTTCACAGATCAGCATACATTCAATCCGCAGCTGATAGCTAAGGAAGGAGATTGATTAAGCATTTTAAGATGCTGTGATCTTGGCCAACATGGTGGCCTTCTTCCTAGGTCTTCTAGAAATGTGACAACTCTACAACATGGCCATGGCACAGCATCAGCCATGTCCACATCAAAGCTCTGCCCTGCGGCTTGTGGAAGGAGGTTCAGTTTTCCATGTCAAAAAAAAAATTTCCCATCTTGCCATTGCCTTAAGCTCCACTATGACTTTCAATAGGTTACATGGCCTCATTGTGAAGATCTGGCCCTAGGTCTGGGTCAGCTTCTGCAATTTGCAAAGGAAAGAGGGTGCTGGAGCAGCAGTCACCTTTCATCCAAGGGTGGCAGGGAAGGGATGATGCTAAGGAAGGGGGAGTCTCCAACATATATTGATCAGTACTTGTCTGTGAGGTTCCTATAAAGAAACTTAAACTGCTAGAGGCAAACACTGTTTATGATGAACTCCCTTACCTGGGAATCTGAAGGAGGAGAAGATAAAACTGATCTGCATTTGCTAGCTTTGATTTCTCTTCTTTGAAGGCTTTCAAGTTTTCTATCTAATGAGAAATAAAGAAACAAGACTGCAGGACTGCACTGCATTAACAGCTCTGCAAATGAAGCAAATCACAATTCTGTCCTGACCTCATGCTTTTCAGGCAGTAGCTTGAGCAACTGCTTCAGCACCTCGACATCAAACTTGGTCCTGTCCCCATTCTGGACCATGGCAACCACCTCTTCGTTGGAGCTGCAGGGAGGAGGAGCAGAGTCAGCCGTCACCCAAAGGCCCTTGTTCCACTATTACATGCTACTGAGATACGTATCCATGCAAGTACTCCATGCTTTGCCTAATGAGGGCCACAGTCATCCAAGAGGAAGCCTGTCACAATGATTAACTGTGCACTTGGAAGATCGATATTCAAATACCTGCTATGCCCAAAGTTTTGTTTCTGACCCTGGCCAAAGGACTCAGGACCAGAGATCAATCCTGCAGTTTAGATGCCTATCCCTACACACTTGTTTGTCTTTACAATTATCTGATTCTTAAATTCTCTGTCTGACCCTGCTTTCAGTACGGGTTTACTCCACAGAAGTCTTTTACCACCTAAATCGCCCTATGTTTACGTGCCACAATGTCTCCTCTGTAAAACAAGATGTAAAGCTTTTTCCATGTTTCCCCCAGACCCAGTGTTTTAAAGACAGTGTATTATAAGCCAGGAAAGGTTCAGACGTTTCTGCATCACAGATCACAAAAGCGCAACGGCTGGAATAGATTTTGTGAGCACCTTACAGACACTGGGCAAAAGCTGCTTGAAGTTTTGGCAACTATCATGAAAACTGGCCATATCTTACCATTTAAATTGCTTCAAAAATATGTTCAAATTGAGACTTTTCTTGGAGTCCAAAAATGTGATCTTCATTAAAAAAAGAGAAGATATTTGATATTAGATGAACTGTCTGCCATGATCTTTAGTCTAAAGAAAGAGAACAACCCTCTCACCTCCTTTGGTTCTGTCTTCACTGATGCAGTCGTTTTCTCCTTGGGAGTTGGTTGGGGAAAGCAAAACAGTTGTTCTATGCTTGTATAATTGGGCTCTATGCTTTCCTCACCACTGCTACCCACTGAAGCCCACATCGAGTGACTTTCTGAAAAAAAATACACAAGGGATTCAGAGACTTTACAGGGGCAGCTCAAAGCTACTGGCTTTTGGGGCAACAGGACTTGCTAGAAGGGAAACTCCCCAGAAAATGAACAAAATCGTTAAGGACCCTCAAACTCTCTAATAGCACCAGAATTATTAGGAACAATCTGGACCATGTACTGGCAGGGTACATTGCTGCTTAACCAGAGGATATTGTTATGTGCTAGGAAAGAAAAAGGCATCTATCCTGGTGATACTTTGTTATGAACTTGCATGGTTTCTTTAGGCCAAAATGTGCTGATAAGAAAATTAAGCATGAGGCAGACAGAAATCATAGAGCCACCATCCTCTTCCTAAAACTGTATTCTCCTCCACAACCAGGTTAGCATGAGAAGGGCCTTAGCCACGTTTTTCCTGGCCCCATACCTGATATTATTTTGGTTCCTTGCATGCCAGCAGAGGAATCACGAACAACCTGGCCATTTTTTATCTGGGGCCTTCCTAACTTTTTCATTTTGTAATCTAGTCTCCTTATGGAATGCTGAATATAGGACTACTTAACTTCATAAATTAATCCCCACTGCACTTTAAAACATATCTTCTCTTTGATCATGACCTAAGTTTCTCTATAGAAATCTCCACTGAAACTGTGGTTAAGAATGTGCTTTATTTAGATCTTACCTATACCATCTTCCATACAGCGGATGGTTGCTTGTCAAGGTAGGCTGACCTTGCCTACTCTTAATTCTTCTCACATTTCAGGCTCCTTTTCAAATCCATTAGGAGAGGGAAATGTGACCCACAGATTGATAAACGAATCAATATTTCTTGGGTCTCTTCAACTCTTTCAGCGTCCTTCCTGAGTTGTGGCTGATGTGCCCTGTTCATGACCGGTGCCATCTGTTTCGCAACGGCAGATTTCTAGAGTACCTGACCTTGACACACTCCCTTAGTCATGACTTTCATGTATATATGAACCAGGGAGCAGATAGCCTTGAGCCCAGATCAGAGCCTGTTGAAAACCCAAGTCCAGCGTGTGTCATGATGGATTAGGAGAACCTTCTCATCTATTTCACTGCTTTCACTTTCAAAGGATTTTAGTTCTAAACAACCTATTCTAACCTAGTGATCTAGATGGAATGGTCATTAAGTATTACTAGGCTAATGCTATTTTTTTAAGCTTTGCAGGTCAGATGTACCAGAAAAACAAAAACAAAAAAACCTTCTGTTTCTACATAGAATCAACCAGATTTGACACAGTCGAAGAAAACTGTTTTTACCTCGAGTCACCCGAAAAGTGACAGTGAGTTTATGCCTGGGGCACCCACCTCTCACCACATTGGAAGGCAGCTTCTGCCAGTTCAGCTTCTTCATTCTCAGAGTTGGAGTCTTCACCGTCTTGCGGACAGGCCTGGCGAAGCCAACGGGGCAGCTGAACTGGGCGGCTACAACAGCTTCTATCTGGTCTCCTGGGATGGCTGCCATGCCGGGCAGAGGTGGTGGGGGTGGTGGGACACCCCCTATGCCAGGCAGGGGCGGTGGGGGTGGTGGGACACCCCCCATGCCGGGCAGTGGTGGAGGTGGAGGGACACCCCCCATGCCAGGCAGTGGTGGAGGTGGTGGGACATCTGCCATGCCAGGCAGTGGTGGAGGTGGAGGGACACCCCCCATGCCAGGCAGTGGTGGAGGGGGCGGGATGCCCCCCATGCCAAGCAGTGGTGGAGGAGGTGGGATGCCCACCATACCAGGCAGTGGTGGAGGAGGTGGGATGCCCCCCATGCCCGGCAGAGGGGCTGCAGATGACGAAGATGTGCCTGGGAGTGGAGGGGCTGCAGGAACATCCACTGTGGTGCATGCGGAGGCCGTGGCTGCTGCGCCTGGCAGCGGTGGAGGGGGTGGTGGTGCAGGAGGTGCCGGGGCAGGGGCAGGGGTGGGTGCAGGGGTAAGCGTCTCCGGCGAAGCTGAGCAGGCTGAGAGCTGGGAGGATGAAATCTTCTCCTCTGCAGCAGATGGCTCTGATGGAGGTGCTGGTGCCTTGGAGGGGTTGTTTGATCTCAGAGGGCTCTGAACTGCACTGGCACACACTTTCAGCTCGGTCTGAATACCTTCATTCATGTTCCCAGACAGTCGGTTTTCAGCTCGCTTTTGCTTGTTTGGTTGTTTCTTCATAGATAACAGCCTCTCGATGACTTCTTCAACTGTGTTCCCCTGAACTGAAAAAAAAACAGGTGACGCTCAGGGGAGGAAATGGGGCTTAAGGCTTGGTTCATGCTATTCAACCCTCTGCAGTTTCCTTCCTAGGATTCTGACCCAGCAGCTCAAAGCCCATCATCACTGTTGTGACTATCAGCAAGGCTCACCAGCATGAGTAGCATGTTCTCAACGAAGACAGAATCACACTCGCTCCTGCCACCCAAAGCTCACTGCAACATCTGGACTTAACCAACAAAACAAGGCAATGTGATTGCCTTGCTCACTGGCATCTACAGGGGATTCACATCAAGGCTTGACCCCATGTCATATATGAGATTTGCGTCTGTTTCTGTTCAGTTCTTAGGATGCCTCATGGCTTTGTTACTGTGCATTTAGGAAGAACTTTTGCAGGTATTGGATAGGAGATAGGACAAAAAGAGGTTAGTGCAACGCTGAAAGTATGTGCCACTCATGTCAGTCTTACTGTCATTTGCAAGCAAAATGGCTCGGTTCACTACAGCATCCAGGGACTCCCATAGCAAGAGGCTGGAGTGGTGAGATGGTTCCAGGTGCAGAAGGCTCTGGAGGATGGACAACAGCTGGATGGAGACTGGAGAGCGGCTCACCTGGAAGACAAAGTGCTTTCCATTAAAGGTAAGGCAGTGAAAGAGACTGGTTCCAAGCAAACTGTGCTGACTATGCCATTGAATGACTTTGCTCCCCACATGAGAGTCTACTTACTTTATTGAAGAGAGATGAAAAGACCTCATGATGATCATTCATGTTTATCCCATCACATATCTTCAACAATTCCTCATCATCTTCTATCTTGAACTCCTCAAATGTGTCACACTGGATAAGCAGATCCTCTTCCTCTATGTCTCTGCAATCGTATAGCATTCACTTTCACTGGAGAGCCCTTTGCTGATGATTTAGATGATTGTTGTATTTTAAATTGTTTTTATCTCTTTGCTTCTTGTATCAGACAGTCAATGTTGAGGACACCTAACTAGCTCATTTATAAAGGATCGAATCCCATCAGCACTTCCTTTCTAGAACTAAACAAACTTCTACCTACAGACAGTACATGGAAATGAATGTGACATTTTATGGCATAATCTAGCTCAATGTATGCTTTGCATGAACATCTCTTTGGAGGTATAAAGACAGAGGGGTTTTTCCACCCTTTGGAAATTATTTTTTTTTCCCATGACAAAGAAAAATTTGCAAATACTGTTTGCAAATAAACTTTAACTTGAATAAACTTTAGCTTGAATAAACTATATTTTCTGCCATTCAATATTAGATCAAAAAGTACTAAACCCAAGTTTTCAGCTCTCTGGAGTATTCTCAAGGCAAGAAGTCTCTGGCAATATTGAAAACACCATTTATCCACTATTTTTGAAAGAGTTATTTTCTGCCATTCAGTATTAGATAAAAAAGTACTAAACCCAAGTTTTAAGCTCTCTGGAGTATTCTCAAGGCAGGAAGTCTATCTGGCAATATTGAAAGCACCATTTATCCACTATTTTTGAAAGAGCTGAATGGAGAAATTCAAGGAACATGACTAACTGCAACTAATATGAAATGCACTCTAGAATTTACCATAGGTGCTTCTGCTGGTGCATCTTTTTTAAATTAAGAAGCTGTGAAGATAGATATGTCTGTATACGCAACACCAAAGTATCTTTGCTGCATCCTTCCAGGACAAAGACCAGTCGTGCAGCACTTTTGAATACACCAAGCTGATCAGGGAACTTAGAGCATCAGTTCAGCATCAATTTGAAATGCTGCCTCAACAAGGACATTGTTGTGCCTTATTCTGCCTGTGCTCAGAGCTTTTGCCAATGCCATCTGTGACAGCAGCTGCTCCAGGGACACTGTGGCTGTTGAGAATGTCTTAATGTTGGCCAAAAGCCCCTAGTTCCCACATGTACACTACCATGGTCCATTCCACCCAGGTACTTTTCACTGAACACTACTGAGGTCTGATAAGCGATACATTTCCATAGCTATATTACTATGAATCTCATTTATAAAGGAAATTTAAATGTTGATCCTTACCTTAGCTTGTCTAAAATATCCAATAACTGAAGCCCTGAGAACAAAAAAATATATATTTATTGGTTACTTGGCACTGAGGTATTATGATGATCATGTAATAGTATTCTGTAAACATATTTTGCAGAAAGAAAAAGTGAGAATATCTTCATATCCATCTGTCAAAACAGATAGATTCATTTCTCAAATGAGTAGACCTTAGTAGACACATCTACAGCTGAGTGAGATGAGGAGCATCCCCTTAGGATTACTGAGGGACACAAGCACTTCTGGGGACAAGACTCACTTCATTCTGAATTAGATGTCTAAAATAAGTCAAATAAATTGTGCAGTCATATGCCCCTTTCTCTCACAGAAAGAAATGGAACATAGGCCTATCAGTTCAAATAAGCATGTTATGTTAGATTAATCCTAACTACGGTGCTTAGGATCCCTATATTCAAGTAGTTGGAAGTGATCCTGGATCATGGGTAAACTTATGTGACAAAACTGAGTGGCTGCAGAGTGAAGAAATCTCAGATTCTATTAGAAGGAGTTGCAATCTATAGAAATGTGGCTCCAAAAGATGGTGCCTATAGAAACATATTGAAGACATTCAAAGAATAGAGTTCTACGGGGATGCCAGGAGAGCTCAAAGCTATGGGAAAACTGCAAAGAAAGATTAAATAGATCTGGTTAAAATTGTTTAAGAGAAGAGTCCAAAGCCAAGTGATATGGCTTCAAGAATTGCTCCTTGTCCCTCCCTATTATCTTATTGATACATTTAATAATGAAGCCATAAAACTGCCCTGGTTTTTGAACTGATTTTCTCTAAAGAAAGTTAGTTGCAACAAATATTCTTACCTATGAACTCGTTTCTGATTTGTGTTCTTGTTCTTAGCTCTTCTTTCCCCAGTATTATGGCATTAATAGCACTCAGTAGCGTCACCATGTATGGCACGTTATCTGTATTTGAGAGCTCATTCATTATGACACTGAATCGATACTGCTGGTTCTTCACACTCTGTTAATAACACAAGTGATGTTCAGACAGTTCTGTTCATATAGCTCAGAAACTTTCATCTAAATGAAAGCTCTCAAATAGAATTAGCATCCTAAAAGCTCTGTCAGTTTATCCTGCTGAGCACAGAACAGGAAGATACAGCCAAAAGCTGCATTTCCCAGCCACAGAGCAGTGTCTGGTCAGCAGAGGAAGTCAGTGAAACACCTTCCAGATCCCTTTATGCTTTCTGACAACGGATGAGTACCCTGGATTTTGAATTAGTGAAACCCATGGATCTGGCACCTTCTATTTGGTTAATCTGGTGGCACTTTTCCTATCAGAAAGGATATGGTGGTTGGCAGGAGTCTGCCTGTAGACAGCATCTTGACCTTCTGCTGACACAGAAGTGTCCAGGCCAAAATTCCTACAAATTTCACTATATAAATCCCCACCTCTCTTACCAAAATGATGCAAAATTAACCTAATTTCTACTCCTCTTCTGCAGTACATAGATCTACCTGCATGAGTCAGACCCCAAGTGAGTGTTTGCACATTCTGCGAGGCAGCAAGACCTCCTGCTGCAGTTCAACACTTGCCTTGTAATGGTCCAGGGCATCCAAAGCCAAAGCGTGGCCATCTGATGAATAAATGCACAGTGCAGCCAGGAGTTCAAATACTTGCTTTTTGACCATGACATTAGTTGTGTCAAGTGCTGGCGGAAAAACAGAAAAGAAATAAAGAATTTATAATAGCAGATTAATGTTCTGAATCTCAGTGTCTTTTCCTAGGGGCTTATGACAATGGTTAGAAAAAGGATTTAAGAAGCAGAGTCACAGTACATGGAAGATGGGGAAAAAACATTCCGTATTACAGCTGTCTCATCCCAATCACAATATATGGTAGTAGCTTCTAGTGGGAAGAGCAAATGCTAGTTCATTTATCCTACAGGCATTTTGACTGGTGATTATAGCTGTTCACCTGCTTCAAGAACTAGTGGAAATGCTGCTAACAGCAAACAAAATCTCAGTGAATGCACTTGCTTGTTTTATTTCCAGTTTTCAAAGATGTGTATTTTCTAGAATGGTAGATGAACCACTGCCTTTTTTTCCAGTTAATGAGTCTTATTTTTATTGCAGAAATAAACATGAAATAGGTCAGTTATTCTAACCAGGCCTCATGTATTTCCCTTCCTTCCATTCCTGTTTCTCTATGAGACCTGGGAGGTATGGGGAAGCAGATTAGACTGTCTTTTATTTATTTATTTATTATTGTACAAAGAAGTCAGACCACTCAAAAATCCAGGCTGGCCATTTATTTTTTACAGTACAAAAATGCCAGTTTTATATTCCACACTGGTTAAGAAAGCACATGGTGAAGAGAAAGGAAGAGGACTTTAAAACTGAAGATGGGAACAAAATGCATGCTTTCAGCCTAAATGCATTTTAAAGAGATATTAAAAAGGGTTTCTAAGCACAGCTGCGATTTCAGTGCCACAGAGTAGCATGGAAATGTTCCTCCCGGTCTCCCTGTAAAGTGCAGCGCAAGCCCTAGAAGCCACCCTGATGAGTTTGCTACCTAATGAGGAACGAAGTGAATGGCTGGAGAAACTAAATGGCAATACCTGCAATTTTATAGATGGGAGCAGACTGAGCAGCAGGGAAAATAGTATCTCTTGAGCCTAAGCCATACTAGATTCTGTCCTCTTTATGGGCTGCAAGTCTCCAAACCCTTTGAATTTCTCCTCTCTCTCTGCCCTTGAGCCTGAAAAAAACTAAACGGCAAATGCCTGCTGAGAAGATGAAAGCTGAGAGGTTGGGGGCTTCTCAAGTCTGCTTAAGGCAGTGTTTATCCTGACTCCCCAGGGAGCTAAGACAGTCGTGTGGAGGTGAGCCCACCCATAAAGGAGAGAGAGGCAATGGCAAAGGAATATCATTTTAAAGAGGAAAATAAGGAAAACAGTCCATGTAATTAATCAGTTGTGATCAACAGCTTGCAAGAAGCCTTTTAATACCTTTGGATATCTAAAAAAGCGACAGAGCAGTGGAACAATTGGAAGACACATCTATGAAGTACATTCAACACAGGGCAGGAGGATGAAACAGCAGAAACTTTTCTGCAAAGTCTCCCCCCGCCTTGTGTACCTGGTGAAATACGATGTCTTCTTACCTTGGAAGAGTTTTCTGACATAGCCCTCGTTGCTGACGATGTACTCGATCCCCTTGTGGGAGTTCATCACCGCTCGCACGCAGTTGATGCAGGTGAGCTGCAGCAAGGCGTCAGAAATCCTGGACACCCCTCGCCCGGACAGCCTGTCCAGGGCCTCCAGGAGGAGGTCGAGCCCACAGAGCTCCAGGAACTGGACCATCCAGGCATCGTCGCTGTTCTCCAGCCGCTTCTTCAGCCCAGAGTAGTTCACCACGGAAGGCATTTGAAGGAGGCGGATGCAGAGCTCCGGCTCGGCGTTTTCTAGGTTGGCCTCTGACTGGTCTGTCTCCTGGGGCCCAAGTTTCTCCTTCAGGGCAGCCCATTTCTTGTGGGCACCTTCCTTTTTGATGGACATTGTGAGCAGTTTACCCTGAAAGGGTAAGAAAAGACAAAGTAAGAATTATTTTTGGACTGTCCCATGGTAGCAGTGTTTTTTCTCCCAGCAATCAGTACTTAAACCTAAGTGGCAGCGAATCTCTTCTTAGGCCAGCTCTCAGGCAAGTGGGGCACACACTGGGGCCAGTCCTCTGTTGAGAAGGTAAATATATTTCCCAGTTAACCATGTGCATTACATTCAAGCCCTGAAACCTCTGTAGACTGACTCTTAGCACATCTAAGCCAGCAAAGACGTCTTTAAAGTAGCCAATTTACACCAGTCAATAGCCACTGCCTATTTTCATGCAGCGAAAGGACAAGGTTGGAAGTGGCATTGTCAACCCTGAGCTCTTTATGCCTATTTAGCCTCTTTAAAATCTCACTACCCTGGCAAGGTTGTGTTTGTAGTGGGATGAAGTCATTTTGAGCGTATCTTGCTCATAAGAGCATCTGAGAACCATGTTATTTTTTGCCTTTGTTTCTTTTGACTGATGTGGAGGCTAATTTTATAGCACTCACTCAATCTCTTCCTGTCTGTTCTTACAGCAAGTACATCAGGAAAATGTAGTGCTTGTGTGTGATAATGTGAGAGTCCAACAGGTTGCAAGTGGAGGAGCTGCAGCAGGAAGCTATTAAAACAGCAGTACATCTGCTCAAAGATGAGGAAGAGCTTTTTCATGGCCTATCTCCCTGGGGAACATGGTCCACCTCAGCCATTCAGTTCGCAGCAATGAATGTGAGGGTCTGATGCTCTGCAGTGAAACACCAAAACCAAGTTAAAAAAACTCTGGGTGACAAACTTTGTGTTTGAGGTGCTTTGTTTTAAACCTGTAGTGATCAAGATACAGATGTAAGTGCTTTTCACATATTTTCACCAACCAGGCAGGGTAACTTCAGCACCTGCCTCCTTGGTGAGCCACATGCTGGGCAGAGGTGTTGGACCCTGAGATGACTTGTAGGTGTCCAGACAGGCACTAACACCATATCCCCTCCCTTCCACCAGCTGTGACCCTCCCATACATAGGGCTGAGGAGCCTCCATGGAGGTCAGAAGAACTTGGGGCCTAGCTAGCCCTGAAATGGCCAAACTAAACAGCTCCAAATTATAGGAGAATCTTGTTTTCCCTTAGAAATGCCAGCACTAGAGTTTCTAGCCTTGCAGAGTGTACGGAAAGTCTTGAAAGTCCAGACTGAAAGTTTCTGAATGGTTTATTTTCCAGAACACCAGGAAAAAGGACCAGTCATTTACAAGTTTCTTACTCGATAGCCTGCCTGGTGATTTTTTTATTGAGAGTTGAAGCGTTTTGAGAGATACCATCTGCTTTGCTGCAACAGAGCTGTGGGCCCTATGTACTACTGAAGGATGAAGTCACAGAAAATTCTCATACACTTTTATAGAACTATGGAGAAAACCCTTTGCAGATTTTCCCTTTTCTTCAAAGCGAAAATAAATCCTTGGCTAGGATTCCAGTTGTGCACTGTTTAGTTAACTGTAAAAAAGACAAATGGCCATGATGGAAAAATGTGAAATTGCAAATATAGCATTTGAGGACATACTGCACAGCTTTAAAAGAATAATTTTAAATGGAAGGAAAAAAAAGCTCATGCCGAGGTACAGGCCAGAGTTGCTAAGATTCGTCACAACGGTCAGATACCAGAGCCCTTACTCACTCTTGGCGCAAGCTTTGCTGGAGTTAGTCACACCCAAGTTGTTCCTGTGAACCCAAACCCAGGAATTTGAGTCTGGCATGAAGCAAAGGGGAAGTTCCCACTCCCCAGCACAGTGAGGTGTGCAGCTGCCACCGCCGCAGCCCTGGGATCGAGGTGGCATCTCGCTGCTCTCGCCTTAGTGCATTCCACCACTCCCGCCTTAGCAAAGTCGCACTGTTGGGGCTGGAGGATCTTGGAATAAACTGCATCTGGGGCAGAGTTTGGGGCCACGGTGGGCAGTGGGCATGGGAACAAGCACCCATGAGTGTTGTGGAGCTCCCATGTGGCTCTGGTGCTACCAGCAGCTCAGGGATGTCTCTTTAGCATCCTGCCTTCACCAGAGTCCCTGGACCTTCTCAGCCTCCTGCTAGCAGCAAGAATGGAGAAGTGACAGTGCAGAGCTGTGCACTGCTGTGCAGGGACCGGGCAGGGAGCCACGCGGCGGCACAGCCGGCCGGGCCGGGCGCCTGGCCCTGTCCCAGCCCTGACTCACAGCCTGGCTCTCGGCGCTGGCTGGAGCCAACCTCTCTGCTCTCCCCAAAGCGAAAGCGCGCTCCAAGCTGAAAATCCGGTTTGGCTCAAGCCTGGGCTGCTGGTTTTAAACCTCTTTGTGCCCCAAGAAGCCTCCTCATGCAGCCCTGTGAAATGGGCTGCACAGCTGGCCCCAGGACCAGGAAGGTACCGGCACCTCCTGAGCAGGCGCTGCTCTGCCTGCAGAGACCATGCCCAGGCTTCAGGCTTTCTGCAAGCTCTCTTTCAGTCTAACTTCTTTTCACACCCAGTAAATCACTCTGTAATTTGCACATGACTAATCCTTCCTTATCGATCTTGATAGCATAGTGGGTTGGCTTTTTTTCTCCCTCCCCAGTTATGCAAATACTCTGTTGTATACATCATCAGCTACAGAAAGTCATAGAGAATGTAGTAGCATTATTGCCCTTAAGTTCAGTCAGTTTCTAAAAATTAAGTGAAACCAGTGCAACGGGAGACAGGAAATAATGATAGAGCATCCTGTTTACTGGCATATTCTAAATTATCCCTTCCTCCCCACCTGCTCTGCACAGATGTGAGGAGAACAGAAACAAACCCAGTCAGGTACATCTCGAAACAGTAGCGGCTTGTGGTTATGCACCACACTGAACAAATTTGATTGATTAAATATTCTCTCCCACAGAGTGCACACTCTTTCTATGGGGAAGAAAAAAGATTGCTCATGTACCTGATCGTAAAAAAGAAATAAAATAAATGGGAGCAGTACTGTATAAATGGGCAGGAAATAAACATGGAGGAGAGCAGGGTACAATTCTGCAGATGGTGTGATAAATCTGTTTACAAACACAGATATGAGTGATATATTATGAATGCAGCTTCTCTATATATTTTCCATGAAGCACAGTGCGGCAAGTCTACTCTTTGAAGTGCTGGTATTGCTTTTGTGTCTCTGACCACAAGGGCTTATTATCAGGTCAGAGGCCTAACCAGAGCGAGACATATCAGATATTAAGATGGCATGCAACTGTTTTGCTATCTCAGAGAGGCAATTTAGCACTATGCGGGCTGAGAAAAGGGAAGCATCCTGACAAAGAGACCTGGCACTGGACTTATGGCTGCATACATCTTGCTTTAGCACCGTGCTGGGCTTGCAGCATTCCTGGCCTGCCCCTTGACTGAGCTGCAAGTGGACGTGCTGCTGCTGTCTCCTAGAGACATCCCGGTGGCACATTCACACAGCCTGAGGTGGGCACATTCACAGGTCACCACATTAACTGCGACAAATACAACCCTCTCCTGATCTTCCGTCTTTTCCCCCAAGGTGCTTGAAGAAGTATCAAGAAATACTGCAGAGCTGCGATGCTCCTTCTCTGCGCTCATCCATGCCTGTTCTATAACCCTTCCTTTTGCTTTCTTTCTGAACACAAAGTACTTCCCTGCAGCTTTCTGTGCCCAGCTGCCCTCCAGGTAAAAGCCAGCTCCTATGGAGATGAGATCCCAGGGAGACAAATCAGGGCATGTCAATACTTCTTCCAACCTGTGAAGCTGTGCAGACTGGAGCTGTATGGCACACACACAGCCTAAATTACTGCATGCCTTTAGCATGGTATGGGCCACTGATAGGACCTGGAAGGATGCATGAAAGGGCATCTTCTACCAGCTAAGTATAACTGCGTGTTGAGAACATGGAATATGTTACAGGGCACAGCTATTCTGGTCTTTGGGGCAGGCCCTGGCCACTGAGGGACCACTGCCTGTGTTGTGTTGCAGGACTGCTGGGAGCTGCAGCTCCCTATGGCTCTGTGAGAGGTTTTATGAGCTGAGCGGTCCCTGAGGGACTCCCTCCGCTTCTCGCAACAAGGCTGTCGCTGCCAGCCCCAAAGAAATGCTCCTTTTGCTGCTCTGCGCGGTCCCTCCCTCTCTTCTGTGCCTGTTTCTGGCACTCAGGAGGCTGTTCTGCTTGGACGAGCGCTAATGATAGGTTTTGCTTCTGGGTAGCTCCAGTTTTCGCTCTGCCATGGGGAATAGGCAGAGCCTTTGTATTTTGCAACATGTCAGACTGCTCCGTCACTAAGAAGAAACAACATCCCAGCTTTGTACTGTCTCTAAACACTTCGGGAAGGCTGGCGGGTTTGTTCTCTTGCTTTCATTTGTACTATTGTGCTTTCCAGTGCAGCATCTGAACAGCACGCTTACACACGCACTAATGAAATCCTCCTCCCCGGCCTTGGAAAAATGGAGAGGGTTTTAGAAACCCATCTGACCCCTCAGTGCAGGGGGGTTGAGATGTGTTAGCAGAAGCAGGGTTCGCCATCAGCCTGCGGACAAGGCGGCCACAGGCCCAGCTGCTCTATCCCTCTTCTTGCGCCACGCACAGTAACCCCAGCGGTTTCAGATCTAGCTGTTCTTGAATCCTTACTGTAACTGAGGTGAGAACTAGTGATTTAGGATTAAAAAAGATTAAAAGATTTTGGAATGAGTGCCAAATCTTGTTAGGCAACACTGAAGATGCTGATTCTCTTGCCGGCACAGCAGAGAGCTACGCTACCGTGTGCAATTTTGTGCAAGTGGAAATATGTCCATCCAAAAAGATTAATGGCGGGGGTTACAGCAGGATTAACTACGCAGGTTGAAGCAATGCCCATGCCTTCTTCCTCCCTGGTAAACACATAGGTAAATAAATCCTTGCTATAGGAACTATAGCTAAACGGAGACACTTCAGGATGTTTATGTCGGGATCGTCAGTGACATCTAAAGCACTCTTTTATATATGAACATTGCAGCAACTT